GTGACCGGCATCTTCAGAGTGCAGGAGCACAGACAGGAGCAGTTCTCTCTGTGCCCAGGTTACTCTTTTCTCTATGTCTTTGCTGCCATCTCCATTTTTGCAGCCCAGATCTGGTAGCCCTAATGGAAAGTAGCTGGAAGGAGGAAAAAGTGGAATGATTGTTTGTGCAACTGGCCTGGGAGCTCAGCTCTGCCCTGGAAAACAAAGGTCTGGACTGAGTTTAGGTTCAGCCTCTCCCTTCCCACCAACTCTTAGCTTTTGCATCCTCTGTTGTGACCCTGTTGCAGAAAGTGAAAACATGGCTTTTTGTCATGCAGGGGGCATTGTGGCTGGTCTCGTCTCAGACTACACTGGTGGCAGGGCCACCACATGCTGTGCAATGCTTATCCTGGCAGCTCCCATGGTGAGTATTCCCATATCAACCTTCAGGTTCATGAGTTCTATATCACTGAAGGTCATTTTGGGAGGAGTAACTATGTAAGAAGGTTGTTACCTTCATGCAGTGTTCTGGTTGCCCACTGATGGAAAAGCCAATGTTGAATTAAATGCACTTTTTACCTGGTTCAGGCAGTTTTTATATACTGTAATCTGGTTTGTACATGGTTCCATCTTGACATATGTTTAACCAGATAAACCACAGTTGGCTGGGATTGTACAACAAGCTAAGCCCAATTCAAATGTCATTGGCCTATATTTTACAGGTAAGTAGCCTTTTTCAAGCTCCTGTCCTGTTTCTGTGCCAGAAATAGCAGTCAACCTTAGGTTGTCTTGCTGTTTTGAAGTATAGTTCCCACAATCCTTTGCCTTTAGCCATGCTGGCTAAAATTGATGGAAAGTCCAAGGAAGTCCCAGACATTCTGTGAAGATGGTATTATCAAAAATAATTGCCAGTATAAAAAGGGTCAATTGCCACTGGCCATTTCAGGAGGAGGAGGAGGATGTGTTCCAGGTTCCTGGTGTGTTTTCCATTATGTCAGCTGTTCAATGTATATTTGAACAATTTTTAAAAATATTCTAATGACGAGTATCTTCCTTTTGGACTACTGAAATAAGCCACATCATATTTTCATTTGAAAGTACAGATTTTTACAAATTACATTATGCTGAAACAAAACCAAATATATAAGAAGACTGACTTTTGGATCCTGGATTTGTTTACAGTACTATTTGTAGCTATTTTATCTGGCAGTTGAGTCACACAATTTTTAATTGCCTCACCAAAAACAAAATTTTTTAAGGGAAAAAAAGGTGCTAGGTGAATGGAACATTTTCTTCCTTTTTCCTTGCCTCTTTTTTTCTTTTTTTGGACACCTCTCCCTCTTATTTTTGCTCTTTCTTGCCCTTCTGCTAGGAAGTTTCATCCTCTGGCTAAAGAAATAGTTTGAATGGGCAAGCAGGAAAAGTAATTATATATATAAAGCAGTTGTGAATTGCCTCTTTTGTGGTTAGATTGATAGCATCGGGATGTTGTTCCTAAGCAGCAATAGAAATAATATAATTATCTCCTTTGGGTTCTCACGCCCTTACTTTTCTTGACCTTTCTGTCCTGCAGTTACCCCAAGAAGCCTAGGGCAGTGGACCTAACTTCCCTCCATCCCCATTTTATACTTCCAATAACCTTGATATTAGGTTGTGCTTTAAAGATGATGGCTGGTCCAAAATCCAGGTGATGAACTTTAAGACAAAGTGGAGATTTCAGCTGTAGCTCCTCTGCCCTAGATGTTGCTCTCACAGTCTTCTCCAGTCTTTGGGTTTCTCCAGATGTTTGAGCCTTTGGGCTTCCATCATCTCGCGTGAGCACAGCAACTGATGGGAACTGAAGTTTGAACATCTCAGGGGCATCAAATTGGGGAAAGCTGCTCTAACTGCTGACCATGCTGGTTTTTGTCCTTAAAATGATAGCCACAAACACCCTTTTTTTCAACTTCAAAGTCTTAATGTATTTGACTTTCAAGAAGTAGATAATTGAAATAAGAATATTTTGGGTCCACTAAGAGAACAAAGATCTCCTCTATAGATATTGCATAAGAATTTTTAATTGTTGGGTAGGATTTCTTTCCTAATAATAAAAAAGGGACTGAACTCCAGTGGCAGAGGCAAATGTTAATAGAGATCTAAGTGCTTCTCTGCATAATTGTGCAAATAACAGATGGTGACTTCTACAAAGGTTGGGGATTCTTACTTGTTGCTTTGCTTTTTCTTCCAGCTCTTTTTGTACAATTATGTTGGCCAAAATGGACTAGGTACATCCATAGGTAAGAATGCATTACTTTCTGGAGAATTTTGCTGGAAATGCATGTTAACTTCCCAAAAGAACATTGGGACCAGTTCTCACATTACATTGATCTGAAGAGCAATATTTATTGTTTGATCCAGACTACATTTTTGTGTGTTTGGGGAAAAATAAATAGGTCTGAATGTAAATCTAGACATGAAAGTAGAATTGCATATTGAATGATATTGTTCCCCATTTCATAGGCAAGCTTTTGAACAAGATATTTACTGCACAAGTGTGATAAGTGGAAATATATGGAATATGCCATTTTACTTATGCTTATCCAAAACATGGAGAGGCCATTCCTTCTAGTCCCATCTGCACCAGGACTGGGCCTCCAATTTTGTGTAATTATGGTTGGAGTAGGCTTTAGAGGGCATAAAACATAGACTCCTTGGGTGGCCTACAGGTGCCTTACTTCTGCTGCAGACACCCTTAGCCCAGGGCAAAGCACCTTCAGACTTTGTCCCAGGAGGTAGCAGATTAATAAAATGTAGAAGTAATTGAAGCACTGTTGTTTAACTATATCTGTTCAATACCTAACTGGAAAATAACCTGTTTGGGTTGTAGAGCTGATATTCTATTTTCTCTTTAGCGATGCTCATTATCTGTGGTGGCCTTGTTAACGGACCGTATGCTCTCATTACGACAGCAGTGTCAGCTGATTTGGTAAGAATGAACTTGTCTTTGTTCACTCCTGCAACCTTTTGGCTTACCACCTGAGTATCAATGTCAGCACTGGCTTTATATGTAACATGCAACTTTTAATTCACTCAAGTGCAGTTTTGCAGCTCTGCATGTATGTGTTTGTAGATTTTTATTTCAGTCACTCCAGGAGCAAGCAGATACTTTGCACAACTGTAATTAATTGAATAAAAATGGTAGCAGGACTCTTCTTGTTGTTCAGTCGTTAAGTCGTGTCTGACTCTTCGTGACCCCATGAACCATATTGTGCCA